TAATAGAGCAATTTTGAAACGAAATATTTGCTGATAATTTGCAATCTTCATTCGTGAATTTTGAACCATGTGTTCCGGCTTAAAATTTGAATTTGCCGCGACAATATTTGAATTAAAACGATAATATAAATACATTAGTTTTTACAAAGGCTTGCATTTGACTCAGCTCTAGTTTATATATCGAATAATATGACAGATAATTTGTAACAATGTTTCTTGTCTAGAATAATATAGCTTTATAATTGGCATCATTCTACATTTCTACTCAATCCTCATATCATGTGCCCACTTAAGCACGTCCCAGCTAAACATGGCTTGAGAGAATTTATTGACTTTGATAATATCAACTGCTACTTTCATAAGTTTCAAATGTTTATTCATATATATATATAGTATAAGTGGGTCGGTTTAGATAAAAATGTCAATTTGATGTGTTATATGGCAACTTGATTTAATGACAGTTAAGTCCTAAAAATGCATGAATAATAATACTCCAATAAGCCTAATTTTCAGCACTTTGTTAAAATTAAATGTTATCTTAACTAATGCCGGACAATTTTATTTGTCCAGGGAAGTGTCTAGCTAGACTCTGCCCATGTTTCATGTTGACATATTTAGATGCAATTTTACCTAACACTCCCCACTTTAACTACTGCGATATTCAACTCGATGGTGGAGTGCTTGCCCATATTTCACGTTTTAAGTATTAACACCTAAGAAGCAATTTCCTCTTCTAAATGTTACCTACTTTAAGTTCTTTGAAGGGGTGTAGAGAATAGAGTCTTTTTTGCTATCCTGCTGGATACAGGATAGGTTGGATAGTTTTTGCTATCCAGCCAGATATGTACACGATATAGTATGTTGGATAGTTGGAAATATCCAGCCAGATTCATGGTATTATTATCCAAATATATATGGTTAATGCCTCATAAATTTAAGGTCACTCCTTTAAATGGCGATGTGCCCAGCAGCCTGGATGCTCCCCACTGTATTATTTTACTTGTCTGTTGTCTGGAGGAGAGTGCTGACAGTCAATGGGTTAATTAATCAGACTATCTGTCCATGCACCCTATCAACCCTTCAAGTGGCAATGTGCCCCACTTTATTATTTTACTGTCTAATTAGATGTAAGACAATTTTACTTGTCAGGGGGAGAGTGCTGCCACTCAATGGGTTAATCAAGATATCTGTCCATGCACCCTACTAACCCTTCAAGTGGCAATGTGCCCCACTTTATTATTTTACTGTCTAATTAGATGTCAGACAATTTCACTTGTCAAGGGGAGAGTGCCGCCACTCAATGGGTTAATCAAACTATCTGTCCATGCACCATATTAACCCTTCAAGTGGCAATGTGCCCCACTTTGGATGTCAGACAATTTCACTTGTCAGAGTGCTGTCAGTCAATGGGTTAAGTGCTGCACCTTCCCTAAATTTATTTCCACTTCCCCCACTATTTCCACCAAAAATAAAAAATCCATCGTTGGTATTATGGGAACTGTTTTCATTGGGAGATTGTTGATGTACTCTAAGTGTGTTTCGTCAGTAATATTATCAACCATATAGTCAGTCTTGATATGCATGCACTTATCTTTTCCTGTTTTACGTACAATCAACAGGATGATGATGTTACAAAGAAGATCAAGAAATATGTATCTCCAAGACTTATATATCCACTGGGACCCTTGAAATGCACTCCCTGCATGATGTTTGTTGCTGAAGGAATGGTTGTCACCAAACTGAAAGCTGTAAATATTTTAAATATCTTTTTTTTTTTTGCATATTGTATGTGTATAGTGCTGAAGGTGTAACTTGACACAGTAAGAAAGTGTTAATATTTAACATATTCTTATTCCCTGCAGTGGAAAGAAGAGACTTACATGCATGTTGCTAATGCCAGTTGAACACTTAATTTCTTTTATGAAATAGAACATTGCAAGCATGCATGCATGTTGGAACATTGCAAACATGCATATACATGCAGTTGATTCCGTTTGACCGATAGATATATTTTTATACAATATATTTTCACACAACAGAGCATAATAATTAATATACAGTATGTGCATCAAATTAGGATTTCCATCAATGTTGGGATTGATTTTATTATAATTAATATTAGCCAAGTGAACATTATTTTGTGTGACATCCTTTTGATTCTAAATATAGCTTTAACTCTTTCTGGCATAGTTCAACAAGTTTTCTAAGTACTACTGGCTTAAGGTTATTCCAGAATTGATTAAAGTGCTTATGTCACAAAAAATATTTTTTGATATTTGATACAGGACAAAAAGTTAGTTAATAGGTTCTTTAACATTTTTCGGTTTTCTCTTTTCATTCGCGAGATACGAGGCTCTAAACAGCGATTTTCGTAAAATTGTCGCGTATCAACAAGAGTCTGGGACGAGCGTGGTGTGACGTTGCTTAAGGGACTTAATTTCGACGCGCATTATACATTTGATATATTTTCCAGCATGTCAGGCAGTAGCTCGGATTCGGAAAGCACTCATAGTTCTCAATGTGACTCAGAATACAATTATATTCCTGGATATATTATAGAGGATGAATCAAATGATACTAGTCACGAAATTGGAACTCTAGAAGCAGTTTATAGCGAAATTTTAGGCGATTATGATGCATGCTTTTATGCCGATGAACCGCTAGCCGGCGGAGAATGGTACGCACGATATTTCAGAAATTCAGCAGAACACAAGCAACAAAAAGAGATGCTACAGCAAAGGTTAGATGGCCTTGAAGATATTAAATTATGGTGAGTGTAAACATAGATTTATTTTAACATTTTAACGTAAAATATAAATATAAAGTATCTCTGGCTAATATATTTTGCGGGATACGGGCTCATATGGCATCAGTCACAACAAAGAGTTAAAACCACACTTCCCTCACCTTCGCAAGAAAATACAAGACACGAGATCAAAGAAAATATAAACAGACTGGTTCAGAGCAAATTACGTATATATTCTTGTTTGAAGCTACAGTGTTTCTCTGTGATCACGTTTGTTTAATACGAACGATTGAACGATGGTATTTTCTCGCAAGTTCAATTCTTAAAGCCCATTTTTCCAAACAAATAGGTCTGAATCCCGAATGCAGAGTGATACAGCACGGCGGCTGTGGCACATCTTCTAAAACGAAGTTATCCTTCAGAACATCCCTACAAGATTCCATCTCCTGACAGCACCAAGCTTCGTGTGTATATTGTATATGTATTATCACACAATCGCCGCATTTACACTTGTGAAATATGATACAGGTGAGGGTTTGATGTGACTGATGCCGTATCAAAAATATATCAGCCAGAGATACTTATTTTACGCCGTTAAAATGTTAAATAAATCTATGTTTACGCTCACCATGATTTAATATCTTCAAGGCCGTCTAATCTTCGTTCTAGCATCTCGTTTTGTTCCTTGTGTTCCGCAAAGTTTTAAATATCGCGCGTAGGCTGTAGCTTTTATCGCGCGTAGCATTCTTGGCTCGCTAGCGGCTCATCGGCATTAAGACAATATGCATCATAATCGCCTAAAATTTCGCTATCAACTGCTTCTAGAGTTCCAATTTCGTGACTAGTATCATTTGATTCATCCTGTATAATATACCTAGGAATATAATTGTATTCTGAGTCACATTAAGAACCATGAGTGCTGAAACACATATGTCTTCCCAATAGCTTTTTAGTACTCCTTCACATGTGAATTCGAACTTCCGTCCCTTAAGCTACGTCACACGGCTCTCGCCCCAGACCCTTTTCCGGTTTTTTCTCGGGCGCGACAATTTTTCGCTAAAAGCCAATTTTTCAAGGTTTAGAGCCTCATATCTCGCGAATGAAAAGAGAAAACCGAAAAATGTTAAAGAACCTATTAACTAACTTTTTCTCCTCTACCAAATATCAAAAATAAATTTTTGTGACATAAGCACTTTAAGGACATGCTATACAGTAGGTTGTCTTTACTTGTGGTATGATGTTTCACTTGGTATTTTTGTTTCAAACGGTCCCATAAATTCTCAATAGGATTTATGTCCCGAGATTGAGGAAGAAATTTTGGTAACAACTAAATCGCCTTTCTCATGCTTTCTTCTTAAATAATTTTTACACATATGAGAAGGGTGGTTCGGATCATTATCCGTTGCAAGACAAATATCCTTCCACACAACCTTGAGCTACTGTAGATGGTATAGTGTGATCTGGTTGTTCTGGATTTCTGCCTCAACTTCCAGCCGGACCTAAATCCTATTGAGAATTTATGAAAAGTGAAACATAATCCCACAACTAAAAGCAGCCAACCAATAGCATGTTGTTAATCAAAAATGCTGGAATAACCTTGAAAACCATCAATACTAAGAAAAATCATATTAAATACTAAGAAAAAACCTTCAAAATTTGTTCAGTCTACATGTATGTCAGGAAGAGTTTAAGCTGTTTTAAAATCAAAAGGAGGTCACACAAATATCAATATAATATTCACTTGGCTAATATAGTATAATCAATTCCAAAGGTAGTGTATATCCTTATTTGTTGCACATATAGTAGTGTGTTGTGTCAAAATGTATTGTATATATGAATATAAAAAGGCAAGATCATATTGACTGTACTCAGACTTTTGACCAGTGGCGTATAAGATGGCTTTTCAAGGTGACTTATCCAACTTATTTAACTCCGAGGAGAAATGTCTGGGAAAATAATTTTCAGAATTGTCCAAGATTTCACTCCCAAAATGCTTGAAATCGCATTTCAGGGGATATAGATTTTAAAACTTTCTCGGAGGTGCATGCCCCCGAACCCACGCAGAGACGGATTTTCATAAATTCGTTCGGGGGGGTGGATAAATATCTGGGGGGGGGGGGGGCTTGCTTTGGCCGGGGCGTGGTGGCAACGCCGGGAAAGGCCAAGGAAAAAGTTTAACAAAATTTGTTTTCTAGGCCTGCATGGCGAGATCTGAGACCATAATATTGGTAATTTTACAAATTTAGTAGTAAGAATAATCAAATATGAAACTATCAAATCAAAATATATGTAATTTGCGGGGGTGCCACATGCCTTTGGGGGTGGGTGGGTGCAAATCATTTCTGGGGGGGTGCGCACCCCTCCCCAGAAAATCCGTGCCTGGGTCGCACATCGCGAGAAAAACGTAAGGTTAGGTATAGTTTTTTACTGCGCATGCATATCTGGCGGCCATGTTATTAGCAAGTACCCTAAAGAGAGGCTCTCACCCCCCTGGAACATTAAATTTCAATATGTTTTCAGGGGGGGTGACATCTTCACTTTAGGGCACTTGCTAAGAACATGGCGGACTGAAAAAATCCCCCTTACGCTGAAATTAATAAATGAAACTTCTGTATGGTATTTACTCTGTGTATAGATGTCTACGGCGTCTTGTATAAAATAAATGCGGTCAATCGGTCCAATGTAAATGTGGTCAATCGGTCCAATTTAACCAAAAAATCACCAGTAACAGTTTATATACTTACACTTTTCCCAATTAAAATGCTTAAACCATCCACCCAAAGGTCGAACTGCAGAAAAAAAATATAATACCATGCAGGCATTAGATTAAGGGGCCATCAGATGCGTGTAATATATCAAGCTAACTTTCTCGGAGTGCAGAGTTCAACAATATATAGTTATAGACAGGTTAGTGCGGAAAGCACTATAGGAACACCGAACACATGGTACTTACCGCTTCTTCATTGGGAGCGATGAAATTTAAAGGAGCCTTCTCTTTCATAATAAGTGAAAACGCTAGATGGACAGGGGTCTGCAAGAAAGATAATGTGATCAGATATAGAACGGGACAAAGGTTGCTCCAAGCAGTTCAATTATATAATCAATTATTATACAGTACGTGAATGAATGTCAAGTTGCAATAAGGGACTGGTCATAAAGTAACTGCTAGGGTGGGCTGGAGGTAAATCACAAATTTTGCCAATAAGTTCCGTGACCCATCTTAGGATGTAGATAAAAATTTCAAAGCCCATCTAATCTTACAAAAAAAATTTCATGACCCACGCAATCTAAATTGGGAAAATACACTTTTATAATAAAAAACTTGCAGGTATGAACATTGTAAATATACACGGCGCTGTATTGACACACATAATTCCACCAAGCTTGACTAACACATTGATACTGAGCTGCTCTCCAGTTGGTTGTATTTGCTGTAATTCGACCATTTGTTGTTGTATAAACAAAGTACTGGCTTCAATAGCATCATTTGCATTTGATAATTTGGATAGTTTTGTTTACTTTATTATTAATATCTTTTTTTTTTGAAGTAGACATGCATTGGTTTTTGTTTGATGATGGCCCAACCGTGGACATACAAAAAAATTGGCGGCCCATCGAAACTGCCCAAAGATTTTCCATGGCCCATCCCAAATCACTCCAGCCCACCCTAGCAGTTACTTTATGACCGGTCCCTTAAATGCGCCCTCTACCTTTTTTATTTTTATTGCCTCTTGTGTGTGAGGGCAATCTGCCCCAGTCTTTAAATCTTCTATTTCGGCGAGAGAGACTAAATACAAATACAGTTGTTACAGATCTACAAACAACTTGTCAAGGGTTTATTATAAAATCGTCGCGCTCGAAAGCGAATTATGAAGTTATTTACAACATTTGCTTAAACCTATCAATATTAAAATGATAATATATAGTAAATGGTAATAAAATAGAAGCGTGGTGTTGAAGCGTTTTTAGTAAAGTGAATCCATGGTATAACTCCGTATAGACATAGCAATGATACACAGATATAAACACTGTTCGACATAATTAAAATTATAACTGAATAATGGATAGTTAAGGGAAGCCTCACATATCGATTTTTTCCACGAGAAACGTCATATGTTCGTTTGGGGTGGGGGGGGTTGGCAGCTGTGACGTTTCTCTGTAAACATGGAAAAATTCGATAGTTTTTATCTTTGCAGAATATAAAAAAGAAAACAATTTGATACAAACAGCAGTCTATATATTCGTAATACCATACCTGTTCTATACCTATACATTTATATTATTACGCTTTCCTTGCATTGAAAACACTCAAATTAAAAAAAAAAAAAAAAAACGCGCAAAAATTATCAATATTTCATGCAAAAAAAGTTGTTTTGAGAAACGTTGGAAATTTTGAAGTTCATACTTATATTAATAAAAAGAGTATGTCAGCAGAAGATGACATATTCCTCAGCGGAAGCATCGCCAATAGCCGACCGAAAAAAATAGTAGAAAATTACCTTATGTGTACTATAAGAACAAAATATCGATAACTATGTGTGACGTTTCTAAGGGGGGGGGGGGGGGTCTCCAGAGAAACGAACATATGACGTTTCTCGTGGACAAAATCGATATGTGAGGCTTCCCTTAAAATGATGAACGTTAAATAGTGAAATGATCCATGGTGAAATACTAACATTTGTTGGGAAGTTGGTCCGTGTTCGGTTTAGATCCTTCGTCGCAACTGCCGTAATGAAGAAATCTTCGATTCTGGGATAATCTACAGTACCAGTATTTATTATCTGCCAAACAAAATAAATATATAAACTTTGGTAGAACTATATGCAAGGCGGCAGGTGGAAAATGTGAGCGATATTTGGTGAAAACCAACCTTTTGCTTTTTTTCTTACAACTTGTTTTTCAAATCTTGTGCCTTCTACTAGGAGATTCAGTCTCTGGAAGAAAGATTAAAAAACTTTTTGCTAAATTTGTTTCAATTCCTGAGCACACGCCCCCATTGCGGAAATTAGCTTTAGTTGCAACGTTAGCGTGGTTAATTAAAGTTTATCTGTCGTCATCGCCACCACATTATCACATCATCTTCGCCATCATCATCGCATCATAATCATTAATCATTAAATCATCGTCACATTGTCATTACATCAACATTACATTCTCATTACATCATCATCACATACATTCACATTACATCATTATTACATCATATTACATCATCATCACCTATCATTACATCCATCACCATCGTGATAATCATCATCAAAAGAATTTATTTCAATTCTTCATGTGATGATGTGAAACACTGTTACAACAATATACAGTACCTGGTTTTTAACCAACTCTATTAGTTCTGGTACGATTCTTTCTCGTAAATGGCTGATGATTCCATGAAAGGGAAGATAAATACAATCAACATACATATAACCATAGGCAGCCCAGCATTGGTGTTTTTGATCGAAATTATGTTTGTAAACAGATGCGATTTGCTCGACAAATGCCATCGTCGGAAAAATCATTTGGCTGTTGGCCGACGAAAAGTTGGAAAATTAGCTTTTGTTATTTCGTACGTCATGTGCAAACGCAGACTTAGCTTTCCGCTGGAGAACTAGCCCGGAAGTGGCTTAATTAAGTATACATTAAGTATACATGAAAATTAAATCGCACATGTCAGGTAAAATGTTCAAAAACTATATACATTTTACTCAAACTTTACATTGTTTTCTGGTTAATTCTTATACTGTAGAGCTATACAAGTTCACGAAATCATGAAACATCTGCTTATTTGCGCATGCCTGCAACGCGCATAAGACTAGAGAGAAAGATATATACAGTAACTTCAAATAATGACTTACGCAACAGGTTTTGATTTTAGGTCTATGCTTGTACCACTTCCTTGGATCATACCAATGATATTATCAACTTTTAAGTTGTTTATGTAGGTCTAAAAGAAACGATAGTACCATTTTGATTGAAGAGTTTTAACCTAAGTCATGTCCATATTAATATGAGGAGTGAATAATCATTTTGGGCAGAACAAATATTGACTTTTTCGGAGGTTTCATATGACATACAAAAATAGTATTATACTATTATACGACACAACAAGTGCTTCCCGCTCTACAAATGTATCTTGCTTGCTGAAAATACACCCTTTCGATAATTGGGTTACAATACGAATTTTCTTGGCCCGGGAGCCTCGTTATCATGAATTGTGAATGAATACCTGGATGCCCGTGATGTAATTATCGAAAAGTGTATTGACTTATTTTGTGAAAAACACTATGTTATGACTTTTATGGGAAAGGTATTTGTGTTACATCCTGGCTTAAGCCCCGTTTAGACTTGCAATTTTCTGAAAATATTATTTTTAAAAGTTGGAAATGTTAAATCACATTTACAAAATTCTCTTTCTGCGGAAAATTTTCCTGAGTGGAAATGGGCCTTAACAGTTGATAGATATTGGTTTATAATTGGCCTCTATATTCACATGAGCAGAATAACTAATGAGCTCACAACAAAATGGCCGCCTCCATTCTTATTATGTAGCGTTTAAAACGTTCTAACTGAACTCGATAGAACAAGTGTGACAACATTTTCTTGATAGTTAGCTAATGTAAAAAGCGCTAACGCAATGTCTCTAACTGCCGTGGGGTTTTAATTATTCAGTTCTTCTCTACAAGATAAGGAATATCATTGAGTGAATAGCCGTCGTCGCGTTGACGAAACGATCCCTATTATATTATATAATACATTACTTTAAAAACATCTAAGGTCGGTTGTTTCTCCTTTAAAGTTTCTTTTATCTGTTTTTCTACAACACTCATCACCTAGAACAAATAGACAAAATATACTACATGTAAACTCGCACATTGTAAGCCGTCAAAGTTTTTTAGTATTATCAGGAAACATACACGTATGCCAGAATGGCAAAAATGCACTCAAACGTTTAATGATGTACTTCAAATACTTCAAAAAGAATACAGTAAGAATATCAGATACAATAGGGCCATTTATACGAGACAAAATAAGACGCGACTTACATAAGACGCGACTTAAATAAGTGGAGTTATCGCATAAATGGTTCTCTACGGCTTTAT